TATTCATCTTCTTCCTAATTCATCGTGTTTGTCTTTGTCGTCTTCTTATTTTTCTGGTTTTTCTTAGCTTCTTTCGTCATCTTCACATTCTTATAATTTATAATCTTCATCTTCTGCTTTCTTATCTTTAATGTCTTTGTCCTTGTATTCTCAACTTTTTCTTTATAATTTCCATCTTCGTTTTTTTTTCTTTTGAAAAAAAAACTTCCAAGACTAATATCACGATGTTCTCATTTGACTGTATAAGAAGCTGATCCACATATAACTCTACTCAGAATAAAATGAATAAATAATTGTTTTAAAAGGATGCACTAACTTATAAAAAAAAGTACAATGCATCAATCTATTCAAAATACATATTTATGTTACCAAATACATCATCAGTGATATATATTTAAATCGGTTAAGGGGCTTGTAGACACCATTATAGTAACTGGTTATGGTTTGGTCATATCCAGTGTGGCGGAACAACATGAACAACAATTGGAACTCAACTAAACATGAACAACAACTGGAACTCAAAGTCTGCAAAGCTTTTAAATCTCATGTTTGCTACAAAAGATAAAAAGGAAAACACATAGTATTGAGAAGCACAAACCTGTGCAACTAAAATGTTGGAAGACGTTCTATGATGAGTGGACTTGATGATTGCCACTTATGGGACTATACAAAAAGATATTTCGGTGTGAGATAGATGTCTAAGGGAAGAGGATGCAACCTAGTAATCGTCTTACATAGATATTTGGGAACATTACCTTTTGGTGAATCTCTGCCATAAAGACCTTTATGCTTGCGAGATAGATCAATTAGGAAACTTTCATCCCTTTGAACGAATCAAGAGAAGAAAAGTGTGAAATCATCCTCGTCGGCAATAAATTCCTAATCGAAAAAATAAGTCCATCTCTCTCTTACTAAAAGGACAAAAAGTTAAATAGTTGAAGAATTCAATCACCCCTATGACAAATAAAGAAGGAAAATTAAATTAAAAAAATAGAAAAAACAGAACATAACATACCAAGAACAAACTTTGATGTTTGTGCCACCATCGTGCCTCTTTGATGAGTTTATGTTGTATACCAATGACCCAAAACGTCTAAACTAAACTCATGGGAAAACAAACAAAACGAATCAAAGAAAGCTCATCAGAGCTCATGGTCGTGATCGGATTCCAAGAATTGACCAATTCAAGACCTGAATTATTAGATAAAGGATACAAAATACACATAATAAAACCATAAGAAAATAAATAAGACGAATTGAACAAACCTCTTCGGAGCTCATGGTCGTGGTAGGATTTCAAGGATTGATCAACTCAAGACCTAGAATATTATGTAAAGAATACAAAATACACATAATTTACATACATGAAAATAAGCATGACAAAACAAAGATATCAATGCTATTTAAATCATCTATTTTGTTTTTCTCTTTTATATAATAGGAAGAAAAAAATATTTATATGTTCAACTAAAACCTCTAAAGAAAAATAAAGATACCATGAAAATTAAGTTTTCCAGATTAAAAAAAAAAACAGAATATCAAAACAAAGAGGTAAGCAATACCTGAAATATCGTTTAAGTTTTTTTTTAATCCATGGCCACCTTTACCAAATTTCGAGATTGTATTTTAAGTGACCTAAAAGAAAATTAGATCAAAGCTTAAGATTCAAATCAAAAACTCAAAAATAGACGAACAAACACCAAAGAAGATGAACCAATCCAAATATGTGCATATAATACATACACACTATTGAAATTTGTTACCTTAAACTCTTGAATGCCATGAAATTAAAAAATAACTTGCAAAAGAAACTTCACCATTAAAACGACCACATATATGTTCGTAACGTAAACGAAGCTGCGTCTCATAGATGCTTGTTCTTTGAAGCTAAAGAAAAATCAGATATGTATATGACCTAAAAAAAAATTAGAATAAAAAAAAATGAGAGGAAAAATAAATAGCCAAACTAACAATTAAGAGTTTTAAAGTTATACCTCAACTTCTGCCCGCCACTAAGAATCCTTAAGAAAAACGCCTAAAGAAAAGAATTTGAATAAACCCTAGAATAAAAACTAAAAAACTACTATACGTAATGAATATGAAGGGTCCTCACCATATTATATTTTGCTTCTAATCGTTTGCTCTGTTTCATCCACGTACCCAAAAATCAAAAATCAAAAGATTAGTTCATACAAAAGATCAGTTCATACAAAATACAACAAAAAATACAAAAAATAACAACAAAAAAAATCAAGATTGATCTTATTGAAATAAGAAATAACAACAAAGATAAATATTTATCGTATTGAAATAAGAAAATAAAACATTCATAAACTAAACTAAACATAAGCGATGAAAAGAAACTCGGTTAAAAAAAGAGAACATGTAACCAATATGAAAGGAGACACAAACTATATATATATATATATATATATATATATGCGACATGCTTTTTAGGGTTTAGAGGTTTTCCATTTTTATTTATTACGACCAATATCGATATAACCAAATATTTTTTTTTGATTAACCGAATATTTTTTCTTGATTTGTATAAATAGATTCGGCATTATCCTTTCCATTTAGTGAAGATTTTATTATTTACAATGAGAAACTTCTAGAAAATTTGCGGTAAATTTCTGTTTTCGATAAAAACGAACAGAAATGTAATATTTCTGTTTTTTAATCATTAAAAAATATTTTAAAACCCAGATTAATTAAATAGAGAATTCGAAAAAAAAAAGTTAGAGAATCGAACCTGCTACAAAAAAAATAAGAAACCGAGTACTTAACCAATAAATCTACCATTATTTTTGGTAAACTTATCGATTTTTAAATATATATTATATTATGGACCAAAAAATAGTGATTGAGCCATTTTCTTCCAAACATAGGCTTTAATCTACAATTTATTGGGTTTTAATTATAAAATATTTCTTTTTTGTTATAGATTTATTAAAATATTAATTAAATTAAATAGACCAATCAGAAGATGTTATTTTTATTAATGGCATAAACGTAATTTACAACTCTCAACAAAAACATGGGCTTGAGCCCTTTTTCTGCAGATCCAATCAGAAAATATATATATAATTAAATAAAATCAATCAATCAAATTATAAACTGAGCTGATCAATCAAAACATTTGATTTTCATTAATCAAAACGACATCAAAAGCTGTGCATTGAACCACAGACGAATTAACTTCTTAAATACTAATATAGATTATTATTTAATTAAAAAATACAAAATTTTGACAGATCTGCTAGTATTGCGGATGTAACACATCAATTAGAAGGTGTTTCATTTTATATAGGCGGTTCAGGTTTTTTAAAAAGAGATTTGAACCACTTGCGGATTATTATATTGTTTGTTATTTTTTTTATTTTTAATTGTTATACATAAAATTTGTTGAATGAGAATTGAAAAACGTTTCGTTTTACTATATGTTTCATCGGTTCTTGGCACTCCACCCATTCAAGGCCTTAGTTGTGATACATAAAATTTGTTGAATGAAAATTAAAAGATATTTCGTCCTATTATGTGTTTCATCTGCTTTTGGCACGCCACTCATTCAAGGCTTAAAAGAATTTTGTTTTTGCTGCATTTTTTCTAATATATATATATATATATATATATGTATGTGAAGTTTTCAGTTGAAAATACATATATATATATATATATATATATATCTTTGTTACAAAAAATAAAGAAAATTCTTGTGCCTAGTTAGTAAATAAGAATTTTTGATTCTCTTTACCTTATTTTCTTTTCCTGAACTTTTCCTTGTTTATGAATCACATTTATATGTTAAAAACTTTAAATTTTGATTAATGCATGTTATATTAAAATCTGAATGTTTTTTTTTTATCGACAACATAAGTATTTAAAAAGGTTCAGCTAACCAAACCGGAAGTACCGAATCTGAATGGTTTATAAGAAATATAATTAAAATAAAATTGAAAGTTGAGCTTATATCTAAATTAAAAAAATATAAGCGTCTACGAGGCTATAGATTTCACAACATGGATAAAAACTGATATATGGGAGTATAATATCCATGCATAAATATACATTCTTGAATAAACTTTCACACAAGCTCAGCTAGTCAGCTTAGTGTTATTGCCTTCAACTTCTAATTAAACTGATGCGAGTGGGACTCAATATAATGGACCATAGAGGGGTATATATTGGTTGGTGCTCATATGAATTGTGGGCTTTACGTGATAAACACACAAATTCTCAAGGCTATGTATCGAGATTTTAATTAATTAGTTTCGACAAAACAACGTGAAGAAAAGCATTTATTTCATCGTAAGAAATAATGAGAGGTGCTTTATAGCTCAAGTTAAAGAAAAATCTTAACAAAAGAAAATAAAAAGGAAATTATAAAGCTGAATAAAAAAGATTTGAAGTAAACTAATGGACAGTGCCGGACCGATCAATTTGGATGCCCGCATCTAACTTTTTTAAATATATCCTTTTATATATTTTTTTACAAAATTAAAATAATAAAAAAAAAACAAAAACTTCATAAAACAATCAAACTCCATAAACAGTTTATGAAAAAAAAAATTCAATAAAACATATAGTTTTTTGCTGAAATATATATCTTCTTGCATTTTTTCCGTGTAAAATCGTTCATTAAACTGTCGTAATCGAATTTTTCAACTATAGCTGTCTCAATTGATAATAAAGCTAACTCATTTGTTGTTTTGGTGACAAAGATAACTAAAGATTCCCTGCTAGAGCGAACAAAGGAATGTAACAGACCATAGGTGGACGTGGATTCACTTAGGGGGTGTGGGCCTACAATACGGTTTCCTTATTGGGCTAGATTTAGATTTTCCTTTATCTAGTGGGTTTGTGAGTTGGGTTTTTGGGGCTATAAATACAATATAATTTATGGATCAAAAGTTTGTTTATAAAAAGGTTTAAATAAAAAATATGCCCATTTATAGTGGATGCCGCAAAAAATATGCCCCTTTAGAGTGGATGGCTGCGGCGGTCACCTCCCTCGCCTGCCCTCAAGGCCGAGCCTGCTAATGGAAAACTGATTCTGATCAGGTGCGTTTAGATCGATGTAGTGAGCTTTAATTTGGTCGTCCGCGGGTAAGATCTTGACAATATTCTGTTCCAGCTCGATATCTATGACGAAAATGGCTCGACCAAAAATGATTTCTAGGATCTTTTTAGTGGGAGAGTAGTCGTTGAATTGGGTTGGATGGCTCCATGGTCGAATGTGGCTTGATCTGTTGTCTCTACCAAATCGATGATCTCCCGTCCTTTTTTTAAGTTCTCTCAACCAAGTTGATGTAGCCATTCTCCATGCACCCACTAGTTAAACTTGTGGTCAAGTGTTTTGTATTTTGATTTTCTGTCATCATGTTGTTACCTCTTTAAATGCAACGAATATTAGTACATATTTGCCTTGGTCTGATTTTGGTTTGACTTGATCCAGAAAAGAACCAGCTGAATTTTGCGATTTAATCCATCTTTTACTTTGTTACACATTCATGGAACGGAGTAATTAAGGGTTGTCAAGCAGTCGAGCATTTCTTTCTCTGCTTGACTACATTTATTGGGCTTTACATTAGCCCATTAAACATTGTACAGAGATAATAATGAAATAGTCGAAATAAATTAATCGCAAAACGTAGACCGGTTCGGTTCGGTTCAGGTATGAATCGGGCGGGCTTTTTCCACACGACTTCCAAAATCATTCCGGCGACTAAACTGTTTTCTCTTTTCTCTCCAGCAATCTTCGAAGAGAAGAAGGAGACTCAAGTATGGAAGATGGCGAATCATCGACCAATAATTTATCGCGTCCATGGGAATCTTACAACACCGTCTTCACCAACGCCAAAGCGGGTTTGTTTACGGATTCTCTTCGCGATTTGTTTCTCTTTTGAGTAGGATTCTCCCGGAAAATTCTGGAAAATTGTCGACTTCGTGGGTTGATACATATGGTCTTTAGAACATTTAGTTTAATCTGTTGGTTTTAGATAAAAGATCTCACTTTTGGGAATTGCGTAATATTATTATATATTCATAAAATTTTGCATCTTTACTTATTGGATGATGTTCTGAATCTGTGTGTTTACTCGGTAGGAATGGAGGGAGTTGATAAGGAGAAAGTACAGAGGATTGTATATGAAATGAGTAAAGGATCCAAGTATTTTCAAAATGAGGAACGTAAGGAAGCTCTTATGAAACAGAAGATAGAGCATATGCGTGATAGGTGTGCGAAGCTCTCTTCGTCTGATTTATCTAATTATCAGAAGGTATGTGCCACATTTTTCTGAATAAGGTCTCTTTGGTGTAAATCTGTCTTCTTCGTTTTCGATGAATGAGTGTTCTCTTCTTTATATTCTTGGCTATAATGAGGAATTCTGGATTTGGAATCTTTCTTTTTCTTAGTTTGTTAGCCGTAAATTTTTCTATTTGAAGGTGGTTGATAGAAGGATCTTAGAGCTTGAAGCTACACGTGACTTATCCAGAATTTGGCTGCATGTTGATATGGATGCTTTTTATGCTGCTGTTGAAACTTTGAGCAATCCTTCGCTCAAGGACAAGCCGATGGCCGTTGGAGGCTTGTCCATGATCTCCACAGCTAATTATGAGGTATGCTGTTGTTTTTCATCAGGTGGATAAACGATATGCTTGGATGATGTTCTTTTCCCGTATATCGCAGCTAGAAATTATGGTCACAAATTGTACTTGTTGCTAAAAATTTTACTCTCTCTTTTAGGCAAGGAAGTTTGGGGTCCGTGCAGCAATGCCTGGCTTCATTGCGCGCAAATTGTGTCCAGATTTGATATTTGTTCCTGTGGATTTCACCAAGTATACTCACTACAGTGATTTAACAAGAAAGGGTTTGTTCCTCTTTCTTTAACATCTGTAGCTTTATGCTTGCTGTTCTTTTTATGCTTGCTGTTCTTGTTTCTCTATTTCTCTGTTCTTACTTGCATATGTGTGTTTCATGTAGTTTTTAAGAACTATGATCCTCACTTCATAGCTGGGAGCTTGGATGAAGCCTACCTTGACATAACTGAGGTTTGTCGAGAAAGAGGTCTTTCAGGTGGAGAAGTAAGCGTGAGCTCATGAGATGCATACTTTTGTGATTGTTGAATCTTCTTTGACTTTGAGAGAATTTTCAGCTGACGCCGCCACTGTACTCTGTTCATTACTTCACTTTATGCAGATTGCAGAGGAGCTTAGATCTTCTGTTTATTCCGAGACTGGATTGACATGCAGTGCTGGAGTAGCGGCAAACCGCTTGCTTGCCAAGGTTCTCCCTATCTGTGCATAACATTCGATATATCGGCCAAATCTATCTCTTTTCTTGATTCTGCATGCACATGTGTCTGTGTGTCCTATAATAACGTCTTCCAGAATTTGTTTTCTCAATGATCCCTACCATATTTCAGGTTTGCTCAGATATAAACAAGCCTAATGGACAGTATGTTCTACAAAATGACCGAGCAACTGTCTTGACATTCATATCTTCCCTTCCTATAAGAAAGGTGTGTGATCCCGAATTGTTGCGTTGGCTGTCGTTTTTCGGAATCATATTTTGTTCTGAAAAGTGTATGAAGTGAAATTTTCTCTTCAATGACTCCCCAGCTCATTAAATTTGTTGCATACATGCAGATAATGTTGCATTTACATAGGTGGGATTGTATATTCAGTAGAAACTTAGTATATTGGTAGCAGTAGATATGCCACACACACACAGTACTTTAAACTCCTCGCACTGTTTATGATGGCTGGGAGTTGGTTCTTTATGAGTTGTCAAAACCATAATAGTTTTCTGAAATGCAAGTTGGAAATTGGTTAACAGATTGGGGGAATCGGGAAGGTTACCGAGCATATTTTGAAGGATGCTTTAGGAATTAAAACATGTGAGGAGATGGTGCTGAAGGGATCTCTTCTCTATGCTCTCTTCACTCAATCTTCAGCAGGTAACAGTATCTCCTGCTTTCTTTTGACTGTTGCTTTCCAGTGAAATGATTTTGTTGCCTATTGCTCGACAATTTTTTGTAGACTTTTTCCTCTCTGTTGGACTGGGGCTTGGGAAAACAGACACCCCTCAGGTTAGGTCTCGTAAAAGTATTAGCAGTGAGAGGACATTTGCTGCCACCGAAGATGAAAGACTGTTATATTCAAAGTTAGGTGAGTAGTTTGTGTTGTTTTCATTTTTATGAGACCTACAACTCAATAGTCAAAGGCACAATGGATCGTTGAACTTTTTAACAAGACTATTTATCTTTGTTTTTCCTATTGTAGTTAGCAATCATACATCAATATTATTGCCGTTGAATTGTTATCTGTTATGTGTTGGCAGCTGAAATTGCAGAAATGCTATCTCTTGACATGAAAAAGGAGGGTATAACGGCGAGGACACTAACACTTAAACTGAAAACTGCCTCCTTTGAGGTGCACTTCCAAACCTTAAGATTCTCTCTTCTTTGAAATCCACCTTTGTGCTGAAAGTGTAACAATTTGCAATCCTCAGATTAGGAGCAGAGCTGTTAGCCTGCAGAGGTACACATGTTCAAGCGAGGACATACTAAAGCATGCTACAAAGATGTTGAAAGCGGAACTCCCTGTTTCCATAAGGCTGATAGGTGCGCTTCTTTAATGTTGTTATAGTTCTTCTTTCTTTAGAAACCATTAAGATAAAATGTACTATCCTTGCTATTAAAAATTCTATTTGTGCAGGGTTGCGCATGTCTCAATTCAATGAAGAAATCCGCCATTCTGATCCTTCACAGGAAACTATTACCAAGTTCATCGTTCAAAAGGATTCCTCAAGGCAAAATCTGGATGATAGCGACTCAATTGACTTAGACGCTAGTAAGATTGACGGCGAGAGCTTAAATTTATCCTTTGGTTCTCATGAGACAAGCTATGCTCAACAGAAGGATGTTGTCGAATATGAAGAAGAATCCCGAATAGATGCCGACAAAGTAATCCCAAATCAAGAATGTGAGAATAAAGAAGAAAAGCCACGAGTATTGGAAGGAGATGCTCTGCTTATTAAACACACGGATTGCAAACCTGATACAAGTCACTCAATGAATGATAATTCTAATACACAAAACACCAAAGCAGTTTCAGTATTTCCACAGATGGAACCTTTATTTTGGATTGATGGCTACAGATGCAACTTGTGTGGGATCGAGTTACCTCCATCTTTTGTTGAGGAACGACAAGAACACTCTGATTTCCATCTCGCACAGAGACTTCAGAACGAAGAATCTGGCTCTAGTTCGTCTACAAGACCTGCTCCAAAACGAAGGTCAGCTCACAGTAACAACCTCTTGATCCTACTCTGTTTCTTTATTTCTTTCTCACAAGTCTCTGCTTCTCACTGAAACTTCATAACCGTCTTGTTGTAGGATTCTTGGTAAGGAAAAGGCAAATTCCAAGCCGAAGAAGCAGAAACCAGATCAAAAGGAAGGTAGCAAGCACATCCCAATACACACATTCTTCACAAGGAGCAATCAAAACTCGTAAGCTCTGTTAACCTTTCCTTTAATAATGTCACAAGACGTTAGAGTTTTGTAAAGCTGCTCGCTTTAGAGATTCGATTCTGTTGGTGGATGCCACGTGTCGTATGTTATCCCCCATTTTATGAATTAAATTATTTATCTGAACATTTTCACTTTCAGGAACGAAACCCAGAGGAAATGAAGATGGCTCTAAATCTAATCCCACCGAAACTCAATCTCTCGCCGTCCAATTCCCTCGGCGAACCCAGATCGTTACCGTCAATGTCCGACATCCTGACGTCATCAAGAGCTCGAAAGCTTGACTTAAAGATCCAAACTTTAGGGCCGTTTTTCAGAGTGACGGGGAAGAACGCAGACACAGGCGGTGAGGTCGGACGAGCAGAGGGAGTGGTTCGGCCATGGTTCGGGCGCGGCTTGGTTCTGCATCTGGATACGATAAAACTGACGAAAGAGACGATGGCGATGGATAAGTCTGTTCTTGGAGTTGGTTTATACGTCGGAGCTGTAGCTATTCGCCATGGCTACGACTGTGGTTGCCGCACTGCTCAGCTTCTCGCTATCTACGACTCCGATCTCTACCATTCCAAGGTCTCTCTCTGTCACTCCATTTCTAACGAAATTGAAATTGAAATTGGTTTAGTTATATACCGAACTGGACCGAATCCTTTCAATTCGGGTTTTCAATCTTTTAGTGTTGAAAAAAGAAGTCGAAAGTCAAAACCAAATGTTACCAACTGAAATTTGGCTTGATTAGGTTCAGTTTGATCAAATTTTGGTTTGGTTTGGTTTGGTTTGGATTTAGTCCTGTTGAGGGAATTTAGCAAATATGGCGGCTATAGAAGACAAAGGAATTTCAAATCTAGAAAAGAAAGTAATCCTCTATTTCATTATTGTTTTGTGTTCTAGATAACTCTCCAATGGAAGAGAGGATCCAACCTGATTGGAATAGGGTTTTTATACCATTTGTAGTTTGTAAGATCCAAATCAATCTGATCTCCATTGGGGTTAACAACATACTAAACCAAACCAAAAACTTCCATGCATATGTTCAGCTGGTTAGGTTTTACAGAAGAATTGGGTTCGAAGAGGTGAAAGAAGTGAGTGGATCGTCGATTGGAGACATGGCTGATATGTTAGTGTGGGGTGGAGTTGGCACTCGCATGGATGCTAATATCCATCATCTTCTTGTTAAATGGTCCAAAGTTTTCCTCAAATCAACTTCTTAATGACTTGTATATCACGTTCCATCTAAAACCAATCGAAACATACAATTTCTGACAAGAATCTTATATGCACATCAAATGTTTCTTCACAGCTCATCAGATAGTGTGCTATCGAGTTTCCAACTGTTTAATACGAAATAAAATTAAATGCCTCGAGTACGAGTAGTTGTTCTTGTTCAGTGCACCTTCCTTTTGGTTTCCAAATGGGGAAAAGATGAACGGAAATAAATAAAAAGATTCTCTCTCACTCCTTTATCCAATGAATTTTAAAATACAACTTGTTCTTAAAGGCAAGTCTTATTTCTTTCTTTATAACCCATACCTTGTTTCTCTGTCTTGAAGTAGAACCCAAATCAAAGCAAAATAATGCAAACAAAAGAACGCATTATCCCAATGGAGGTGGGAGGAAGAACAATGCCAGAGGCGATACTGGTGGAGATAATTGCAAGATTACCTTTGAGAATCATCGCCAGATTCAAATCCGTGTGCAAGCAATGGAAATCAGTAATCGAATCCTTGTATTTCCGTCGTTTCTTCATCTCTCTGCACAAAAAATCATCTTCCTCCTGGTCTCTCATGTTCAGGTCCGATTATACTCATCCCATCACAGAAGCTATAAGCTTCCACGGATGCCAAACATCGGATCTCCCCAAGTCTCTAGGCTCTTACATCATTCCTTCTTTTCAAAGGTATCCAAATCTACCTACCTCAAGATACTTCTACGTAGCTTCTTCCAATGGATTGATATGGATCAATGTGTTCGTTACTCGCACTGATAACATGGCTTACAGTTACAAATCCTTCGTTGGTAATCCAGTTTTACAACAATGGGTTGAAATCCCTCCGCCTCCAGACCAATGTACAGCCACTGGTTTGGTAACGCGTGTGGATGAGAACGGCGCCGTTTCAGGGTTCAAAGTGGTTAGGACTTGTGACACTTGGAGGAGGACTGAACCTAGAGACATGGGTGGGATGTATGTGTGGAGAGTTTTTGTGTATTCGTCTGAGACAGGGACATGGACTTTCAAGAGACTTCTCTCTTCTCATCCGGTCAACTACACTGGCTCTTACCCTCCCGTGAATCATAACGGTATGCTTTATCTTCGGGAAAAAGGTTCGGATCCTAATGAACCTACTGGTGTCCTTGTAGCTCATGACTTCTATGGCCCTGAAGACGATAATCGATGCCTGGTTATACCTCTCCCTCTTATGTCTAGCGAAAACGTTAGGAGATGCTTGACTACTTCAGGGGAAGATGTTTTCTATGTTGAGATACTGTGTCCAAGACTTAAGGTTTGGAGGCTGAATAACAACTACTCTGTGAGTAGTGAATGGTGGCATTTGTCACGGGAACAAGAAATCAACTTGGCGTCTGTTCTGGATTGTTTTCCCATGGCAGTGAATCCGTTTGATGCTGATATCGTCTATCTGTGGAGTCAACAGCACGAATGTTTGGTATCTGGTAACTTACGGACACAAGAGTTTACTGTCCATCGTCAAGAATCAGAGAATTGGGGTGATAGTGAAGGTTGTTGGCGCATTAACACGTCAGATTCTAAGGGGTATGTGGAATATAACTGCAATGTAACCACGGTCTTCATCTTATCTCCATTTGTGCTCCAACGGTGGATGGATTCAGTACCTTGTCCGTCAAATTGAGCAGCCTTCTTAGGGAGTTGGTAACTTTTTTAACATGTTTTTTTTCGGTGTTTACGTATTTTGTTTCATCCCTGATTATAAGCAGGACATATTTGTTAGCTCTGTATCAGTATATATAAGTTTGTATGACTTGATGCTTTCAAATTCAACTTGCCGGTTAAAATTAGCTATGTTTTCTATTTGCAGTCATTTTTCAGTGTACGTTGTTACTTATAACTTTCTTCGCAAGGCTTTTATGATATTTAAAGGGTATATGTATAGTGTTGTATATAGTGATTGTGTTCTTGATTTTCTGATCTCAAAGTGTATTAGCTTAAGAGAACCAGATAATAATATATACAGACGGATAAAGAGAACCAGATATATTAGCTTCAGCTTTTATTAGATTAGCTTAAGCTTTGATTGACCTCATGCTTAAGTTATTACGGCTTTGTTCTTTCCCTTTGAACCTCCAAAAACTGATCTTCTGATTTTTAATCTTCAGAAGAGACCTGTTCCTTCTTTTGTCTATTGAACTTTCAGTAATCTGCTAATATTTCTTTCTGCAGGACGTTGTGAACGACAAAAAACTAACATTGCCTGAGCCATGTTGAAGGTGATGCAGATGAATAATGTCCGGTTTTTGCTGGAACAAACAAATGCAATCCTTAAAGTAGTTCTTAAGTTCTTCAAATGTAAGATCATTTTTGTATATCTGCTGGTTTTCTCTATACTTTCGGATGAAGAGGCATATCATATATTGTTCATACTCATCAGTTAGCACATGTTCTTGTTACACACCAAAGAAGAGTTATCTGTTAAGTGTGGTCTCTCTCTCTCCTGTAAACAAATTAAGAAATCGAGATTTGGTTTGCTGTGCATATAAGCAATTATTCATATTTATAGCATCTGCAATGAGAAGGAAAATAAAACGTATGCTTGTATGAGACAGCAAAGACCTCAGAACTTTGAATTCAACATTCCTTCCGATAACGGAAATAGATACAATAAAGACCCAAAACATAAAAGTAACAAATACAGTGTTTATGAAAGATGTAATATGTTAAATGTGATCCTCAATCGTCGCAGCTCTTCATCACCTGTTCTTCTTCACATGATCATGATAAGATGATACATCAGACTTACTATAGAAAGAAGAAGAATATGATATAGCTTATAGGATATACAAATAAGGGACACGTGTAAGGCTCGATGGAAGGAGAAGAATCAACGGCAAGGATTCATTCGAGCTGGAAGAGAAGCATTTAAGAGGAAGTTAGAGAGAAAGTTGTATTCATTCGAAAAAGTTTGTTAAGTTTGTTTTTCTTTCTTGAATTTCTCTGTAAATCGCTTTGTTCTTCCTTTGCAAGGATCTTTCTCTCTTTCAGATACTTGTAAGTTGAACTTTGGATTCTTTGTTTCTAGTGAACATTGGATTCATTTGGATTTCTCTAATTGATCAATACACAATTCAGTTGTATCAAAGGTATCAGACGAAGGACTTTTCTCGGACGAAAATGGCGGAAACGAGATCTCAAGCTGCGAGGAAGGAGAATACGTCGAAATCGACGGACAACGAAATCGATTCGCGGATCGACCAAATGATTCGCCGAACAGAGGAGTTGGAGGAAAAAATCGACGGTCAACAACAAAGGATCGAGAAAACGATCGCGGATATGTTCGAAGCATTTCGCTTAACATATCCACCACCGTCGACGGGTTCGACGAGCGCGGGACGTGGTCCGGCGAATCTGTCACCAGATCTGATGAACGGAGCAAGATCAGGTAACTTTTCGAACTATACCGGGATCACGCGCATTGGGAACCTGAATTTTCCTAGGTTTAATGGTGATAAAGTGAAGGAATGGCTCTTTAAGGTAGAACAATTCTTTGCGATTGATCATACGCCTGAGGAAATAAAAATTCCGGTTGCTTCGATTCATATGGAGGACTTTGCGGCAACTTGGCATCAGGCTTTAGTGGAAGAATTGGGACTACATAACTTGACAGACTGGAACGTTTACAAACAGTTGTTGAAAGAAAGATTCGAAGAAGTCTGGGATGATCCAATTGCGGAATTGAAAAAGTTGCAGGAAACAGATGGTATCGTGGAATATCATAAACGATTTGAGAACATACGTACAAGAGTAAAGATGTCAGAAGCGTATTTGGTGAGTGCTTATTTGGCTGGGTTGAGGTTGGATACTCAGATGCATGTTCGAATGTTTCAGCCCCAATCAGTAAGACAGTGTCTTCTACTTGGCCGCTTATACGAAACAGCACATCCGCTAAAAGCTCAACACACCAATGGGAACTATAGCAAACCAAACCCATCCGCAAAAGGCATCCTACAATACAGAAAGGAGACAGTAGTAACAGATAAACCGAAGAACAACCAATATCAACCCAAAAAGTTCTTAACACCAGAAGAGATGACTGATAGGAGATCAAAAGGGTTATGTTACTATTGTGATGAAAAGTTCACTCCGAATCACGCCAAAGTACATCGCAAACCTCAATAATTCTACTTGGATGTAGATGAAGAAGAAGAGTTGGATAACTGTGAGGAGGATAAAGAAAACGTAGAGCCAGCAGGAGAGATAGCTAAGACCTCTGTTAATGCAATAGCTGGTGTGACATCTCACAACACAATGAGGGTGAAGGGGATTCACAACAAACGCCCTCTCTTCATTCTCATAGACTCAGGATCCACACACAATTTTTTGGATATCAGAGTAGCTGAGAAACTGGGATGTCATCTACTAGCAGCTGGTAATGCGAGGGCAATAGTAGCTGATGGAGCTAGAGTAGCAGTGAAGGCTAAGATTACAAAGTTCAAATGGGAGTTTCAGGGGACAGACTTTGTTGATGACTTTATGGTGATACCCTTGAATGGATGTGATGGTGTGTTGGGTATTCAATGGTTGGAGACTATTAGTCCAATCACTTGGGACTTTAGAAACCTAACAATGAAGTTTATGTACAACAAAAGGAAAGTGGTTTTGCACGGCATAAAGGATGGGTCGGTAAGGAGTGTGAAGGCCAAAAAGCTAAACAAGATAGCTGAAGAAGAAGTACAGCTATCGATGCTATGCATTACTCAGGAAGAAGAACCGAATGAGTGCAGTCTCTTTTCTTTGGAAGTAGAAGCAGAGAAACAAGAAGATGCTGCTCCAGTGGAAGCTTTAATAGCGGATTATGCAGATATTTTTGAAGAGCCAACAGAACTTCCTCCGTTCAGAGGAAACCATGATCACAAGATTCCATTATTGGAAGGATCGAATCCTGTGAATCAGCGACCGTACAGATATGCTCTTCACCAAAAGAATGAAATAGACAAAATGGTGAAAGAATTATTGGATGCAGGGACAATACAACCAAGTTCCAGTGCATTTGCATCGCCTGTGGTTCTGGTGAAAAAAAAGGATGGCTCGTGGAGGCTTTGTGTGGATTACAGAGGCTTAAATGGAATGACAGTAAAGGACAGATTCCCTATTCCACTGATAGAGGATTTGATGGATGAACTCGGGGGTTCAAAGATATACTCGAAGATTGACTTAAGGGCAGGATATCATCAAGTTCGGATGTTTCCACCTGACATTCATAAGACGGCATTCAAGACGCATAGTGGTCATTACGAATATGTGGTCATGCCCTTTGGGCTAACAAACGCTCCAACTACATTTCAAGGCCTTATGAATGCAGTTTTCAAAGAATTTCTGAGGAGGTTTGTGCTGATATTCTTTGACGACATACTGATATATAGCAGTTCAGTGGAAGATCATTTGCTGCATTTGAAGAGTGTATTTGCAGTAATGAGACAGGAGAAACTGTTTGCGAAGAGGAGTAAATGTGCATTCGTTACCAAGAAAGTTGAATACCTAGGACATTTTATTGAAGAAAAAGGTATTTCAACTGATCCAACGAAGATTCAGGCTGTTGTAGAGTGGCCTACCCCAACCAATTTGAAACAACTTCGAGGATTTTTGGGGTTAGCTGGTTACTACCGCAGATTTGTTAAAGGCTTTGGAACCATTGCGAGACCTCTCACATTGTTGACAAAGAAAGATTCATTTGTGTGGTCTGTGGAAGCTACTGCAGCCTTTGAGGAGTTAAAAAGGGCTTTGTGTACGACACCAGTATTAGCTCTACCAGTTTTTGATAAACCGTTCTTGGTGGAAATGGTTGCCTGTGGGCAAGGGATCGGAGCTGTACTAATGCAAGAAGGGCACCCAGTGGCTTACATTAGCAGGCATTTGAAAGGCAAACAACTACATTTGTCTATCTACGAGAAAGAACTCTTAGCAGTGGTTTTTGCAGTTCAAAAATGGAGACACTACCTTCTTAACGATCATTTTGTGATCAAAACAGACCAACGAAGTTTAAAGTACTTGTTGGAGCAACGATTAAACACACCAATTCAGCAGCAATGGCTCCCGAAGTTGCTGGAATTTGATTACGAGATTCAATACAAGGAAGTTAAAGAAAATCTTGTAGCTGATGCGTTATCTCGAGTTTAGGGCTCTGAAATTCTGCATATGTCTCTGTCAGTATTGGAATGTGATCTAATGCAAAAGATTCAAGCAAGTTATATCACAGATGCAAACCTAAAGGCCATCATTGACGCTTTAAAGATCAAACCGGACTCGAAAAAGCATTATGTGTGGTCCAGAGACATTTTACGCAGGAAGACAAAGATTGTGGTACCTGCAGACCCAACAATCAGGAACAACATTTTAGAATGGCTTCACAGTTCGGGTGTGGGAGGTCATTCAGGAAGGGATGCTACACATCAACGAGTGAAAAGCTTATTCTATTGGAAAGGTATGGCAAAAGATATACAGGCGTATATCCGAAGTTGCCCTGTTTGTCAGCAATGTAAATACGATAATGCAACCTCTCCTGGATTGATTCAACTGTTGCCTATACCTGCGTCTGTATGGTCTGACATTTCGATGGATTTCATCGATGGGTTACCTCCTTCCTTTGGTAAATCTGTGATATTTGTAGTGGTTGATAGACTGTCAAAGGCTGCCCATTTCATGGCTCTGAGTCACCCTTACACTGCAGCTTCAGTGGCTCAACTTTTCCTCGATAATGTATTCAAACTACATGGCCTGCCT